TATATATACTTTTTTGACAGAGAGAGAGAGAAACATCAATGTTAGAGTGCAACATCAATTGGCTGCTTTCTGCACACCCCCTACTGGGGATCAAACCTGCAACCCCAGAATGTGCCCTGACCAGGAATCGAACCGGCAACCTCTTGGTGCACAGGATGATGCAACCAACTAAGCCACACCGGCCAGGGCCACATGCACTTCTGTTTGCATATGGTAGTAGAAAAAGTAGATACTCAAGGAATCATCATCAATATTAGTATATTGTAGGGGGGAAAAACACACAAAAAAACAAAACAAAACAAAAACCCAGAGGACTTTATCTCAAACCTGTAAAGAGTTATACCTGGGTGGCAAGACTGTAGTGATAATTTTTTCTCTTTACCCTTTTTTTTTTTAATGGTTTAAGAAAACAAACCACATAGCATAAAATTTACCATGTTTTGTTTTTTTAATATATCTTTATTGATTTCAGAGGGAAAGAGAGAGATTGAAAACATCAATGATGAGAGAGTCATTGATCAGCTGCCTCCTGCACACCCCCAACTGGGGATCGAGCCCACAACTGGGGCATGTGCCCTGACCAGGAATCAAACCTCAATCTCCTGGATCTAGGGGATGCTCAACCGCTGAGCCACACCTGGCTGGACAAATTTACCATGTTTTTAAGTGTGCAGTTCAATAGTCACATTGTTGTGAAACAGCTCTCCGGAACTTTTTCACCTTGCAAAACTGAAACTCTGTATCCATTCAACAATTCTCCATTTCCCCCTCCAGTTCCTGGTAACCACCATTCTGCTTCCTGTTTCTACGCACTGACTTACGATTCTACAAACTGACCTCATGTTAGTGGAGCCGTACAGTATTAGTCTTTGTGCGAACGGCTTATTTCAATTAGCATAGTGTCCTCATTGTACATCCATGTCGTAACACACGACAAATTTCCTTCCTTTTTGAAGATTCCACGGTGTGTCTGTGTCGTGTGAATTTTTTTAACAATGAGCAGGTATCGCTTAAGTTTTTTAATTATAAATTTTTTTTTAATGAGCTGATAGATGTTCGGATGAAACTTCATTCTCCTCATAGAACTACACTGAGAACTACTGAGTCAAGCACAAAGTTATACTCTGAGGAATCATTTAGGATGGCCACACCTTAGCCACTATTAGGTCAGGGGTCAGCAAACTACGGCCAAATTAGGAAAACGGAAGACAGCTATGCTCGTTCCTTCACAGAAGGTCTACGACTGCTTCCAGGCTACAGTGGCAGCAGAGACTGTACGGCCTGCCGAGGCTAAAATGTTTCCTCCCTGGCCCTTCACAGAAAGCCTCTGGCCCTCGGTTTAGATGCCAATCCCTCAGCTTATCTCAGGCCAGGCCAGGGAACTCCCACGCACCAGCGACACCTGGCCCACGTGGAGCTGCAGCTGGAGCGGCGGGTTAGCGTTCCCTGCGCCAAAAGCATTCTGCGACTGGAGCCCCTTCGCGGCCTGACTTGCCTTGCCCTCTGCCTTCCAGATTGTCAAGTCTGGAATTACTGCCTCGCGAGGTTGAGGAAGGAGAAAGGGGAAGACAGTTTAATCACAGGAGCTAGCAGGTCTCTTTAACAGTAATTCTGCTTCTGCGTATCGAGTTGAGGGAAATTGTTGCAATAAAGGCATGTACAAGGATGTTTACTTATCACTCATGGAAATAGTGAAGAGCTGAAAACAACCCCATTGGCCTTTTAATGAGTGAATGATTAATTAGGCCGTAACATCATTTTATTGAAAAGAGGTACCGGCATACCTCGTTTTTGTGTGCTTCGCTTTATTTATTTATGTTGTATTTTTAACAAAGTGAAGGCAAGACCCTCTACCAGCAAAAAGATTATGAGTCACTAACTAATCGTGGTGGTCTAGAACCAAACCCACCATATCTCTGAGGTGGGCCAGCAGATCTGTAATGTGCCACGGTATAGCTCTGTGTCTTAAAGACCTGTAGTCACGTAAAAATAGAAATATATTTTTAATTTAAAGCAACGTGCACAAGATCATGGTTTTTATAATGAAAACCAAAACCAGCTACAAACCAGGTAGTGGTTTCATAATAAGCTATATTTTTTAACGTATTTAAATGCATTCAAATACACAGAAATAGTCTGGAAGGAGCCACACTTTACTAATAATGAGGATTATGATAATAATAATGACAGTCCTTATGTACTATGTAGCAGGTGATCTTTTGGGCACTTTTTACATAAATTAACATATTGAATTCTGATGGGATATTATCATTTTGTCAGATAAAGGAATTAAGAGACATAAAGATTAGGTAGTAAGTCTAAGGTTACACAGGCACTGACTGAGCTTTGGTCCTAGGATCTAAACCCAGGCAGTCTGGCTGCTGTGGGGAAGGAGTGTGGTTCAGGTATAGAGGGAGTGGTGAAAGGAACTTCTGCTTGACCTAAATGATTTGCATTTTTGACACTGAGAATGCTTTTGTTTAAGAATAAAAGAGAAAGAATGAACTCTGCCTCCAAAAGAAGGGTGGGGGGCAAGGAAGAGAGCTAGGTGAGGCTTCCGAGGCCTGAGGGGAAGGTGTCCTTACCATTGTCAGTAGCTATAATGAGGGCTGTGTACGTGCTGTTCTTCACATGCTCAAAGTCCTCTCTGTCCATCTCAGCCCGACTGGAAATGGCACCAGTCTCTGGATTAATCTCCAGCCAGTTGGCCGTATCCCTCCAAATCCGATACCTGAAAAGGCACAAGCCCTGGCTTAGAATGGGAACAGCAAGCAGCATGTAGCTGACGAATTCTAAAGTTCCTCTTTGTCGATCAGTTCCAACCACTCTACATTTCTTACTTACATATTAAAAAAAGAAGAAAAATCATACCTATATAAAAGTTACCAGGAAATTGTGATGAGCAAATATGTATGCTTCACTTAGATTCACCTGTTGTTAATATTTTGCTATACAAAAGCTGACGCACATTTACATAATGTCTTGTTTTGCTGAACCATGAGAATATGTTGCAGGGATGGTGTTCCTTTACTCATAAGTATCTCCATGTGTTATTATCTCCAAAGAACAAAGGCATTCTCTTATATAACCAACAATTTGATTTTCAATTTCAGGAAATATAATTTTGATAGAATACTATTAATAAATACATGGTACATACTCAAGTTGTCAATTTTCCCAAAACTGTCCTCACACTATGCAGGTGATGCTGTGTGTCCTTCCTGGAGCATCTCATTAGGAGGCGCATGATGTCTGTTTGTTCTTTTATTGATATTAATTTTGATTACTTGGATAAAGCAGGGGCACCAGACTTCTTCACCGTGAAGGCACTTTTTTCCTCTTTGCAATTAACCTATAATCTGAGGGGAGGTCATCTGAGAATATCCTGTTCACCAACTAGCTTTCATCCATAGATTTAGCATCTATAGGTAATTCTTACCTGAATAGTGAGAACTATAATCCTTATTTGTTTTTTCAGAGCAAACTCTTGCTCCCTGGGGTACCACAACACCTCCACCATTAGCATTTGGAGATTTGGGTTGACATGGTGACTTGAGAGTGGGCCGCTGTATTGGCATTTAATGGTAGGTGTGAAACAGGCTAAAACTCCTTATGGTCTTGCAGAGCAAAAAAATGTCCTATTCACAATGCTGAGAGAGTTCTTTCCACCATCCTTCCATGCCACCATAATGGGGCACATGACTGTCCTGGCTGATGCTCTCAAGAGTATCAGCAATGCCAAAAAGAGAGGGAAGTGCCAGGTGCTTTTTAGGTCATGCTCTGAAGCCATCATCCGGTTTGTAACTGTGATGATGAAGCATGGTTACATTGGGAATTTAAAATTATTGATGATCAGAGAGCTGGGAAAATTGCTGTGACCCTCACGGGCAGGTCAAACAAGTGTGGAGTAATCAGCCCCAGATTTGATAAGCAACATGAAGATCCCACTCCCATCCCATCAGTTTGGTTTCGTTGTACTGACAACTCCAACGGGCTTTATAGGCCACTAAGAAGCAAGACAGAAACACAGAGGAAAAGCCTGAGATTCTTTTCCTAGAGCTGTAATACACACATGCAAACAAAATGCCTCAATGGGAAACGACAGCAGCCAAGAGAATCCTGTTCAGCAACACCTTATTAGGGGTACCAGAAACAGTCCACCAGAAGAAACAAAGGCATGAAAAACAGAGATACTGCTGGGGTCAGGGAAAGGCTCAGAAAGGGAGGCAAAGAAGCCTAAAGAGGTAAGTGCCTCAGGTACCTGCGGGCTTATCCCCACTTCCTTAGAAGTACAAAGCAATGAACTACATAAAGTGGTCTTTATCCAGGGGCAAGGGCCTCTGCACACACTATTAAGACTTGATCCCTGGACTTGACCAAAGAAAGGCTTTTAACTACCTATTTCACTGTTGCAACTAAGATATCAACCCAGCCCGGAAACCCCTCGACAAAAACACTACAATGTTATTTTGGTTTTTTACTCTCCTTTTGAACTTTGATGAAAAACACAGCTCACCACCACCACCACCCAGAGGCTTTATTGGTAAATTGCTTTACAAAAGAAAAATCAATCCTATTGCTACTAAGTCAATGGAATGAAGAGCCGCGTCCAGGGACACATCCAAGTAGAGCCAAAAGGGACTGATGCTTTGGCCACCTCTTATTCATAGATCCAGTCAAAAGCACACGACTTGTAGTCAACCAATTCTTCGGACTCAAACCATAGGCCAATCTCTCTCCCAGCACTTTTTACTGAATCACTGCCATGAATGATGTTCCTGCCGACTTGAATGCAAAAGTCTCTGCGAGTGGTGCCTGGCTGAGAATCCGCTGGATTGCTCTCTCCAAGCATCGTTCTCACTGTCTTCACCACAGTCGGCCCCTCCCAGACCATGGCCACCACGGGCCCTGAGTTCATGTACTTCACCAGCCCAGGGTAGAACAGGCGATCTTTCAGGTCAATATAGTGCTGCTTCAGGAGTTCCTCAGAGGCCCGAAGGAACTTCATGGCCACGAGGCGGAATCCCTTCTGCTCGAAGTGCTTGATGGTGTCACCTACCAGGCCACGCTGTATGCCATCCGGCTTGATGGCGATGAAGGTGTGCTCCATCTTGGCCATGGTCCGAGAAGTAGGCAGGCAGGGGGCAGCTGCTGCACTGCCAAAACCACATCTTATCAGCCCTTATATTTTGGACCACCTAGAAGAATCCCTGGATTATGAGTAGTATATTGACTACATGTATAAAATTATAGTATTTTAAAGCAAATCTCAAGCAGATTTCTTCAGTAAACACTTCAGCATGTACCTTACATAGATAAGGTTTTTTAAAATACATAATCACAATGCCACTAATACACCCAACAAAAACAATAATGACTTATTTAAATCATCTAAGGCCAGGTCTATGTTCAAATTTCCCTAATTGCCTCAAGGGTGTCTTTTATAGTTGGATTGTTGGATCCACATTCAAACACATTACAACTGGTTGATTGGTCTCTTAATACCCTTTCATCTATATCAGTCACCCTCACCCTTTTGCCATTTATTTGTCGAAGAAAATGTCATTTGTCATCCAATTCCCACATTCTGTATTTGGCCAGCAGCTTCAAGGCATTTAACTTGTTTCTTCATTCGCTGTAATTCTTCAAGATCAGAGCCTGAGACTTTATTAGTTTCTGTTTCAACTTCTATTTTCTCCAGAAAAGATTTCTTTAGTGGCACCGTGCATGTGCTATTGAATCCTATCAAGTGGCACACCAAGTCGAGTTGTCCTTGCTTTTTCAGTAAATGTTAAAATTAATCAGAAGATTTGGGTATTATCAGCCAGGTTCCTCCACTTAAAAATTCCCCATGGCCCTTGACCTAGGACACCACTAAGATCACTAACTAGACCCCTCACACAGCTCATCCTGTGCAGTGCACACGTGGTTTAAAGGTATTTATGAGCCCTCTCCTTCAGGATAGAAGCAGCACTTCCAGAATAACCTCAGAAGTTGAGGTCACACTTAAATTTTTTGTCTGTTTGTCTATTTAAGTTTCATAAATCACAGGCACTGAAGCTAAAACACAAACACCGTCCACAACAAGAACGCATTCAATTACCAAGCATGACTCTACTCTGGATTTGTATAACATTTTTATAAATAGCTCAGAGGTTCTGATAGATTCCTCTGAAGTAGATATTAACCAGTAGGAACCTAGCTGTCTGAGAAGAGAAAGTGAGTACAATAGAGGAAGGCCTCCATTACCCCTGGAAACCACACTATTACTAACAAGACACACGTGCCATGTTTGGGTTTGTGCTCTAATAGTTTTTCCTAGTCAAACTCAGCTCTCCAAAGTCTAAGAACACTGTTGCTGTTGTTTGTGTGTGTTCTCAGTATTTGTGGCTATAATTTACACTATAGAGGTGCCTACAGGTTTAAAGAGAACAACAGACTACTTATAAAACCACATTCCTACATGAACTCAAAGAGAGGAAGTACATAAACCTAGAATGGCTGGCTATGGAGGAAATGGAAAAGGAGTGGGGAATGGAGATAAAAAGGAAACTAAAAAAAATAAAAAGCCAATTAAGAGAAGGGTCTTGCACAGAATGATGATGATAAATGCTATAAACTAAATATTTTATATACACACACCCGGCTGCTGCAAGGCAGTTGAAAAATCCACTTACGTTATCTTCTGGTCCATGAATGTGTCCGGATCCTGGGCTGTGTAGGATGTGATTTCCTGTCCCACTGGGAAGTCTTCGGACACCTCCACTCTTTTTTGGAGAGGCATGAAGATGGGGGCTTCGTTCACATCCATCACATCCACAGTTATGGTGGCCGTGGAAGTGGACAGAGTGACCACAAAGGCATCCTCATTTGTCACTGCCACGTAGAGAATGTACTGCTGCTTGGTCTCAAAATCTAAGCCCTGAAGAGTAGAAAAAATGAGTTTTGAAAATGTCATGTTAGCATAAAAATAACAACTTAACTATTGCTTTCAGTTAGCAGTGTAGCAGGGATCCTCAAATCTGGCTGCATTCGAGTTGAGAACCCCAGAAGAAAGAAAAACAGCAAGCTTCAGTTAACAAACACTGCACGCTAAGTCAAGGCCAGTACGAATGTTCACATCCTGTGTGACATGCTGCCCATGTGATAGCGGATGGACAGAAGATCCTGCTTGTTCTCCTCACTAACCCAGGGAATTCAGTGGCAAGGACATGGAGTTCAGAATCAGTCAGCAACCAGGTCAAATCCCAGCTGGGCCATTTCCTAGCTGTGTGATTTGGGAAACTTAACCTCTGGGTCTGTTTCTTACACCTAAGTAACTAGGAAAAGGAACTACCTGACAGAGGTGCTGTAAGGAATAAACTGGGAATTTGCATGAAAGCCTCATGTAGAGTAGGAACTCAAATTACTAGCTTCTTTCTACTGTTGATAGAATAACAGAAAACATTGACATGAATGTTCAGTGGGAGATAAGATTATATACTAAGTAATTTGGAAATGAGCTCACTTGCTCAAGAGGAAGTCAAAGTTCTGGGACTAATCCAGGGATCTGTTAACTCTCTAACTTCAACACCAAAAAAAAATCACTCAAGCTAGGCCAGTATGGCTCAGTAGTTGAGCATCGGCCCATGAACCAGGAGATCACGGTTCAATTCCCCATCACATGCCTGGGTTGCGGGCTCAATCCCCAGTAAGGGGGGCATGCAGTAGGCAGCCGATCAATGATTCTCTCTCATCATTGATGTTTCTATCTCTTTTTCTCTCTCTCTTCCTCTCTGAAATAAATTAAAAACAAAACATATTACAAAACAAAATCACTCAAGACCCTGGCTGGGTAGGTCAATTAGTTGGAGAGTCGCCCTTATACATTAAGGTTGCAGGTTCCACTCCTGCTCAGGGAACATACAAGAATCAGCCAATGAATGCATTAATAAGTGGAACAACAAATCGATGTTTCTCTCTCTTTCTGTCTCTCCTCTTTCCTCTCTCTCCCTAAAATCAATCAATAATAATAATAATAATTTAAAAATCACTCAACTTCTTAGTTTCAAGTTTCCAAGACATTTTTCAGTCATATACAACCCACTTCTAAAATAACCCAGCAAAACTGCAGAGACCAGTAAACCATTTTTGCTCTTATTTGCAAAATAGATATGGACAGTAGGAAGAAGTTTCAAGGAAAGGGCCTATTAAAATAGATGGTGCTTCCTCTTCAATTTTAGGATGGTCGATCGGAGCTTCCCAACCTCTCACAGGAGCCTGAGAGTCACTGCAAACCCCAAATGGCCCACAGAACCTGGGAAAGCCAGCCACCCCCACCCTGCCAATGCCATGCAAACCTACTGAGAAGACACCAAGGACAGGGGAGTGGGCAGCAAGCGGGGCTGTCAGTTTCTGCATCTTCCCAGGCACCATACAAACCTTAGTCGTTTTCAAAATGCCGTCGTTGGTTACTGGGTCTGTGGTGACAACAAATTGGTCCTCGTCATTTAATACAGTGTACATGGCCTTCCACGCCGGGGTATCGGGGACATCGGCATCAGTCACTTTGAGCGTAGCAATTACGGCATTAGCCTCGTTCTCAGGAACCTGCCCCTCGTACTGCAGAGCAAAGGAGAAGATAGGTCACATATGACATCTTGAGACACGATAGTGAAACCAGGTCTCAGGGGGGCTAAGGGAATGCTTTCTGAGCCCGGGTTTAGAGGAGAAGAGTCTCAGAGCAAGTGGTCACTCAACCAGCAGGACCCTTATTTCCTGTCCGTGGATTAGCTGGCACTCCAGAGCATCCTCCTTCATGAGTCCCTAAGGTAGCTTTCCAAGGCCCTGGCTATCTGAGCTCCTCATCACACCCTGGCCCAGTTGTTGACTGAGTCCACAAGGCCTTGCAGGACCCAACCTCATTTGGTTCACTACACTGTTTTACAGTTCTTGCTATGCATCAAGCTCCCTCTTGATTCCAGGCATTTTGCATATGCTGATCCTTCTGCCTACAACTCTTCCACCCTCCCCTGTGCCACAATTGACAACTTCCTTTCAAGTCTTACAATAAATGTTACTCATTGTCACTGCTAATTGCCTACTGAATATCATTCTCCCCTTCTTCACCCACTGTATTGTTGGAGGCAGCAATGTTCCCAAATAAAATACCACATTTCCAATCTTCCTTTGCAGACAGCAGTTGTCAATGAGATGTAAACAAACTTTGTGGGATAGGTCTTCCCAGAAGTAAGCGGACTTGACTTAGCAGCAATGCCTTTTGCACCCCTTGCCCTTGCTTCCTTCCTGAATGAAGCACAGATATGGCTGGAGTTCCAGCAGCCATCATGGGCCACAAGGTGACACTGAGGATGGAAGTCACACACGAAGGATGGTCGGGCAGCAAAACAACAGAGGCCCAGTCTCTATTTAGGCAGAGTGGACTATCCACCTCTGGGATTTTTGTGACACAAGAGAGAAAGTCAACCCTATTTGTTTAAACCTCAAGACTCTAGTCTCTCCTACTAACCATTGAGCTGATTTCTAATACAATAAGATTTAAGGTTCTTTCTTGTGGCATAGTCCCTTCTCCTGGACCGCAATTAATATAATTGCACACAATTATCCGTTTAAGTAGTCCGACATCTCTCTAACTAGACTATAAACTTCATGAGACTAGCATCTTTGTCTGCCTTGATTGTGTTAATATCTCCAATGTCTAACATAGTGCCTGGTATAAACTCAGAAAATATTTGTTCAGTGAATAAATAGAACCTGGTAAGATTTGCCACCGAGATGCACAATATGAGGACATAGATTCAATAGGTGCTTTTTGCAAGGTCACAGAATTTTGTCAGTAGGCATCAGACAGGGACAACTAGCACCCCAACTTGTTTATTTCTTAGTTTAAAGTTCACTAGTCTCGGGATAGTTTTCAAAGGCTTCACTCAGGAGCAGTTGTAAAGTGACAAAGGACCTTTCTTTGGAAACCACCAAGGAGTTTCAGAATTACCGTAGTCGGATCAAAGATGGGAGGGTTGTCATTGATGTCAGTGATCGTGATCACAGCTTTTGCAGTTGTGCTTAAGCCTTCACCTTGAAGGTCAGCAGCTTGAATCACCAGGGTATACGTGGCAAACTTCTGCAAAGAGATCGAACACACCCAAGTTAGGACCAACAACCACATCAGCCAAGTCCATAGCATAGAAACAGAATATTTTATCATCTGCTTAAATGCTGGTCTACCGGCCTGTCTTCTAGGCACAAAACCTCTGGACAGATGTTTAGATGCAAAGCTCAGACCATGACCATTTAAGTGGTAACTGGCCTCAACAGAGTTTTGTGTTGTCCATGGATTTAGCTGAAGTGCATTTGCCCACACCCCCCTCTGGATTTCTTCCCCGCTAACCTCACGGTCCAGTCCGGTGGTGAGCACGCTGATGACTCCTGTATCCCTATTGATGGTGAACATTTGGTCGTGAGGCTGCTCAGGCTCTTGGCTGAGGATGACGTAAGCGATGGCGGCATTGTAGGTGTTCACTTCATCATCGGCGTCTGTGGCCGTGACCTGCATCACAGAGGTTCCTGGAAGCATTGAAGGAGAGGAAGATCCAGTCAAGCTGTACTTCAGGGTCTGGTCAATACCACTCAACTCAACCGTGCCGAGTGTGAAAGGCGGGGCCCCAGAGACACGATGTCACGGCTCTTCTGATTGCTAATTTCCAAATTTCTTACCAAAGTTCTACAGGAGGGAGAGAGCCTTCCACCAGATGAGCAGTGTTCCAAGAACTCAACTTTTCCAGCAGATATTTTGGGTAGGGGTGGAAGTGAGGAGGAGATGGGAAATAAAGAACCTTAAACTAAAACACTTTGCCATGTCTCTCTTTTTTATTTATTTTTAAATTTTTATTTATTGATTTTAGAGAGAGCGCCGTGTCTCCTATACTGAGTGAACAGCCTGAAAAACAGGAAGAATCCCAAGATTTCCGCAACTGGCTTCTCAGCCACAGCTTTAACTAAGAGAACGGGTCCTTTGAGATCATTGCCTTCAAGGGAGAAAAAATATTTATGACACGTGTGACTGACAAAGGACTGGTTCCTAGGACATCTAAATAACTCTAAGAGTTTATAGGAAAAAGACAAATAGCCCAAGAGAATAAAAGGGCAAACGACTTGCATAGACAAGTCGCCAAGAAGAAACTCACATGCTAAGATGCTTAGTCCATTAATAAACAGAAAAATGCGATTTTAAATTGTACTGAGGTATAATTACACATTGGCTAAAGCTAAAAAGTCTAATAATTCCAGGATATACATTGCTGATGGCAGTGCCAAATTGGTTTGACCACCTTGGAAAACAGTTTGCCACCAAGTAGAAAAGTAGGCAAAACTAACAAGATATTACCTAGGAGTAAATACACACATGGTAGAAGATAAATTTAAAAAACAAGGGAATAATTACCGCAATGGTCAGGGCAGTGTCTACCTCTATAGGAAAGAGAAAAAAATGTGATCAGGGAAATTATATGAGGGGTTTAAACTAATGGCAAGGATCTGTTTAGTCAGGGAAGGTTGTTTTTAAACTGCTCCGATTTTATACATGTTTTTTCAGGTAGGTTGTTACATGCACGCACACGCATAAGTGTGCACGCGCATACACATACACACTCACAGTCGCTTTCAAAGAAGTTCTGTCCACAAGAAGGGCCTGACCCCAAACACCAGCCCCAACACTTTGGGATCCAAAGAACCTAAGCATCTTTCTGGTTATTTGGCTCCTCGTTACCTGGGAGAGCGCCTTCCGGGACAGACCCCTCAAAGACCTCCTGGGTGAACTGGGGCCTGTTGTCATTCTGATCTGTCACTGTGATCACAATCTCCATCGGATCCTCAATTGCATTCCCATTCGAAGACACAGCATGAGAGAAGAGCTGCAAGAGCCAAGTGAGGTTTACTTGGGGCCCAAGGAGGAAAGAAATGGGAGAAGTGGCCCAACCAGAGGAGAGTGGGCTCCACCTGATGTCCCCCTTCTTCCCACTCTCTGAGACCTGAGTGCATGGACACCTGCAGCAGAGGCCTTTTCTCACACATGTGCTGCTACTTCAATGAGGTCATGAGCCTGGACGAGATCATGAGAGGTGAAGACCTATGGACCGGAGAACACACCTACCAGGTCAGAGCTCCCATCCCCACATGAGGGCTGGGGAGCCAGGCCCAGGAGATAAAGGTGGAAGCCTAAAACTCTGACTTCTTCTGAGCAGGGTAAAATTTGCTCTGGCCACTCCAGTCTAGGGTGTCCCCCAGATCTTTCTGCATTCGGCATCAATGCATCACTTCCCAGCTTCCCTAAGCTCACACTGCTACCAAGACCCAGAAATGGGTTTTGTTCCCTAACATCATCACTGGCCTCTTCCTTTGGGTCAGGGACTTTTAGCTCCAAGAACAGGTTGAGATCTTGGGTCTAAACTTATGCATGATGCAAAGGACTCTTCCCCCTTGATTCCTAACAAAAATAACCATTAACAACCCCTATATCCAGGTTTGCCTGTCATTTCTCCTTATCAATAGGCCTCGAAGTGTCAAAGTTAGCCCCTCATATGTCCAGAGCATTGGATCTAGGGATCCAACATGGGCTGACCAAAAAATTTTGGAAGGATGGGACCCCATCATTGATAAGTTTCTAAGAGATACTCACGATGTACTTGGCAATTGCTTCTCTATCCAGTGGCTGAGTCACCTTTAGCCATCCTGTTTCTCTTTCAATAATAAACACACCAACAGGGGGTGCATCAGCCCCTTGACCAGTGATGCTGTAGAAAACCTGCGTTTCTTTGTCCCTGTTAGATTTGATCTGAAGACAAAACACAGAATTAGCAAGGAAGGGTCCTTCTCTGCCAAATTCCTCCCAAAGAAAGTACATCCTTCCCTACCTGAACCAGATTCTTAGGAAATGGGCCTTTCTCATTTTCTGGGCAGCTGATGGGAGGGATAACCCAGTCTCTCTTCTGTCTTCTGAGACCATGGTGGGAGTCAGGAAACGTGAGCACTTCCGCCTGGGTTTCAGGGACAGAGTCCTAAAAGGAAAAGAGATGAAGAACAAAATGAGATAATTCATGAGAGATAATGCAGGCAGAACAGCCCAACCTATCCGGCCAGCGTCTCCATCCTGCTGGGGGCAGCGTGTGGTTTTAAGTTAATAACAAAATGAACAGCCAAAACAGAACCCAATGAACCCCTTTGCCATAATAAAGAAGGTGCTCTCTTTTGATCTTTCTTAGTGTCCAGAGTTCAAGTAATCATTATGCACGCACAATTATAGGTTTGACATTATTTTACAAGTTATTTCAAGCCTACAATATCCCACCTGTCATGTTTTAAAATTTTTATTTTTCACTTACAGTTTACATTTCAAAATTATTTTGTATTAGTTTCGGGTGTGCAGCATAGTGGTTAGACAACTATATACTTTGCAAAGCACACCTGTCATTTTTTTTTACACCTGTCATTTTATTGTTGTTGTTGACAGTATTACAGATGTCCCTCATTTTCCCCCCTCTTTGCCCCGCTCCAACCAGCCCTTGCCCCTCCCCAGGCTTTCATCACACTATTGTCTGTGTCCATAGGCTATGCATATATGTGTCACACCTATCTTTTTTTTTTTTTTTAAATATACCTTTATTGATTTCAGAGAGAGGAAAGGAGAGGGAGAGAGAGAGATAGAAACATCAATGATGAGAGAGTCATTGATCGGCTGCAGCCCACAACCCGGGCATGTGCCCTGACCGGGAATCGAACCCCGATCGCCTGGATCCTAGGTCGATGCTCAAATGCTGAGCCACGCCCGGCCGGGCACACATCTATCATTTTTAATAGAACATTATACTCCAGTGATTTCATATCAGAGCTCTTTCAACAACTGAATATTCTGGTGTTTTAGTTTATTTTCCTTTATGTTTTTCCTAGGGTTATAGGTCCCCAAAGTGGGGTTATCAGCCAAAATAAGTAAGTTTTGAGAAATTGGTACTAAGAACTACTTTGTGATCAATACAGTTCCCTTAATCTCATAGTGCCATTATATCTATATAGTGTCCATTGCTCTAACAGAAGGTGTTGGGATGGAAACCAAAAACACCTTTTGAGACTTGTATTGAACAGTTTTCCTGTCCAATAATGATGACTTTATGCACACACAGGGAAATACGATAGTTGAAGATGGAAGAAAAAAATCTTCCAAATTGTTTAAGTGTTTTAAAGTGATTAGTGGTAACATGGTCAAGGTTCCAGGGGACAATTCCACCTCCCACCATCTACATAGTCACTGATCACTGTTTGCCAAGTGTGATTCAAGCCTTACTTCCTGGCTTTTAAATTTTTGACTCAAAATGCACAAGACAGGTATGAGATATGACCAGATAGCATCACAAAATCCTTCCCAATTCTGCATACTGATCTCACACACACGCACACACACACACCATCTGCATCCTCACATTCATCTCCTAGAGAAGCAGTCCCGCCTGGGCCAAAGGCAGGCTCTAGAGCCAGGCTGCCTGGCTTTGAATCCTTACTATGGCAACTCCATCTCCTGGGCAGATTATTTAACTTCTCTGTCCCACAGTTTCCTAGGGTCTAAGAATGGGGACAATATTAGTAGAGTTCTTGGAAGGATTAAGTGAGATGCTAGCATTACAAATAGTGCCTGAAACACAGTAAGTGCTCAATAAATGACGATGGAGTTAAGCTGGTTGTAAAACTCTGAGTTACGGTTTTAATGAAGTTAAGTTTGGGACTTGACCTAGCACAGAAACAAGTATTACACTGTAACCTAAGCCTAAAAACAACCATTTTGCACAGACATGGTAGCAAACAGGCATTGACAGGTGAATACAGATTCATTTGCCCCACTGAAGAGGAAGACAAAGACCACACCTTGCTGACATCAGGATGACAGAATATTTTGAGAATGATAATAAAAAATGATGAACACTGTGCTGGCAAAACAAAGCATTAACATCTTCATGTGTAAAATTAAAGGGAATCTGCCTAAGCATACTGAACACGGAATTCGTTCTTCAGAAAAAAGGATTCAACAGATTGAGAAAAGCCGCACAAAGAGTAGGAACTGGAGCCCGGCCGGGCGTGGCTCAGCGGTTAAGCGTCGACTGAGGATCCAGGAGATCGGGGTTTCATTCCCAGTCAGGGCACCTGCCCGGGCTGCAGGCTAGGCAGCCGATCAATGACTCTATCATCGTTGATGTTTCTCTCTCTCTCTCCCCTTCTTTTCCTCTCTCTGAAATCAATAGATATGTTTAAAAAAAAAAAAAAAAAAAAAAAGAGTAGGAACTGGAAAGTTAGATCTGTTCTTATTTCACCCCAGCTTTATTTAGGTATAATTGACAAATAAAAACTGTATATATCTAGGGTAGGAAAGGTGATGTTTTAATATACATATAAGATCTATTCTAAAAAACACAAACTATTCTTACATGAAATAAACGAGAGGTAAGATTGTCACCCTTTTTCCTAATGCAGGACCACCTGGCTCCACAAGAGTCCCTTGATCTAGAAACAAAGCAAAGTGAACCTCAAACCAGCTATGGCAGAGTTGCCACCTATATCCACTCTTCCTTGCTTATTTAAAAACAAAAACAAAACAGACTTCTGTTTCTCTCTATATATATATCCAGCAATATACCCAAGTAAAATACTACATTTCCTATACTACACGTGAGGCTATGGGTGGCCATGAGGCGAAAGTTGTAGCCAGTGAGATATAAGCAGAAGTGTTGCTTGAGAATTCCACAAAAGCTTCTTAAAAAGGCAGCCAGACAATTAAGTGATGCATTTTTGTGCTTCCTCCCTCTCTCCTTCTTGTCACCTAGAATAAAGTTGTGACTGCTGGAGCTCTAACAGCTATTTGGATCATGAGGCATCCGTGAGGATTGAAACCCTGCCCTGAGGCTAACAGAGCAGAAAGGAAAGGAGGAACCTGGGCTCCAGATGGCTGTGGGCTGTCCATACTGGCCACAACTTACCCTTAACTTGGATTTCTTGAACCTAATCACAATTCAGCAGTCATGGAGGAGGGGCAAAGTTGGCAAAGGTGGGGAGGAAAAGTTGAAAAGCCAAGTTCAAAACTGTCTTTGGTCATAAGAGGCTTTCATGCATAGCTCCCAGCAAGACCTTGCCGTGCTGAACTCACATGAATGACAGAGTCAATTGAAGACTTGACTCAGGGAGCTATGTTAATATAATTCTAGTAAGTTCCTCATTTTTCTGGGCTGTCCAATTACACCAGGAAGGAAAATGTCAATCTTTCAGGACTATTAAGTTCCCAGAATCTCAGGAGTCTTTGGGGAGAACAGGAGCCAGCCTGAAAGGCCTTGGCACGCAGAACCTGTTTCTCACTTCCCAGCAACTAGAATGGCTCCCCAGAGAGGCATTTTCATAGGAAGCACCACGGGAGCAGTTTAGAAACTGGCAAGAGGCACTTGGCTTTGGGTAAGAATTCCCAGAAACATTCTTGCTGAGGACCCAGGGAGGTGCACGTCCTTCCATTCATGGCCAGTCCACCTGTTTGTCCACTGAATATGTACTGGCCTCCTGGTATGTGCCAGACCGAGGGCCAGGCACTGCAATATAATGGGGAAGGATCTTGTGTAGCTTCTCACTGATTCTTCCCCTTCTTTGCCCAAACCCTCTCCACTAGAAACCCAAGGAGCAAAATGACCAGAGAAATGATCTCTTATTCCTTCTTTCTCCAGGAAGGGAATGACAGGAATAGTTAACCATCACTGGGTGCTTATTATATCGCTAGCGTGGCTCTAGCATTTCACATGTATTAATCCTTGCAGTCATTATCATCTTCATTTTACAGATAAGGAAATTCAAGCATGGACAGATTAAATAACTCCCCCACAGTGACTCAGGTAGTAAATGGCAGAGCTGGGATGCAATCCCAGACACAGTCCATGCCCTTCCCCACTATTCTACACTACCTGCAGAAATAAAGCTAATGGCATCTTGCCATCATTCCACCTGATCCCTCTCCACTCAAAAGCAACAAAAAATCCCCAGCAAGAATTAGTTCAGTTAGACCAATGGTTCTCAACTGGGGGCTATTTTGTCCCCCAGGGGACAATGGCAGTGTCTGGAGACATTTTTCGTAGTCAAAACTGTGGGAGTGCAATTAGAATCTAGTGGGTTAAGACCAGGGATGCTGCTAGACAGCATGCAGTGCACAGAACAGCCGCACAACAAAAAAATTGTCCTGCCCCAAATCTGAATGGTGCCAAATACAGGAACCTGGGTTAGGAAGCAGATAAAAGAATAGTGAACTTTCAAGAAACACTGCAACGTACATGATGACGGTGGTGGTGGTGGCGGCGGTGGTGGTTGTGCTCTGCTGCCTTCAGGGTCACTTTGGTGGAGAGCTTCCTGCGGGTGGAGTCCCAGGCGTGAATGAGAAAACTCATTTCTGGATTATGCAGTTGTAAAGGCCGTCTGACCATAAGCACACCGTCCATGCCCACTTTGAATCTGGTGTCATCAGAGACATAGATGGTCCTTGGTTGACCGGTGCATCCTTCAAAACTCACTGCAGGGTATAAATAACAGCGATTAAGAAATTGGGCAGATTAAAAACAAGCACATTCCTTCTCTAAAGAGCAAACTGGACTCGCCTACCAAAAGCCTAAGTCATGCAAAATAAGCACAAGCGGAACAAATCACAGTCTGGTGACAGAACAGCAAAGATATCAGAGCAGCTGATATCGCCATCATGTTCTTCACAATCACGGGGCGACTGTTTATTGTGGTCTGCTCTCTTTTCCCACCTACTTGTAAAGTGAAACAGTAACCTGTCTGGAAAGTAACTTCTCCTTTTCAATTAGCAATAAAAAGGAGCTTTTCCTTTTCAGATGTTCTTGACAACGTGAAAACAGATCCCTAAAATAATGGAGACAGAATACCTATTGAGTTCAACAGTTAGAGACCACAGTACAGTCACATGCTATGGATAGGCTACATTTAATGAATAGTTTACAATTCAATAAATAGTGGCAGATAAGAGAGAGCCAGCACGGCATAATGGTTGAAAGTATGGACTCTGAAACAGGCTTCCTGGGTTCAAGTCCCAGCTCTGCTTATTAGCTCTATGACCTCCGGTGTGTTATTTAATCTCTCTGTGCCTCAGTCTACCCATCTATAGAAAGAAGATAACAATAGCAACTACCTACTAAGGTTGTTTTAAGATACATAGAACAGTGCCTAGGAGAGAAACACTATATTAAAGCTTGTTGCTCGTTAAATAAAAAAATAAAAAAATTGAAAACAGCCCGACCAGCATGGCTCAGTGGTTGAGCATTGACCTATGAACCAGGAGGTCACAGTTCGATTCCCGGTCAGGGCACATGCCTGGGTTGCTGGCTCCATCTCCAGTAGGAGTGTGCAGGAGGCAGCTCATCAATGTCTCTGTCTCATCAATGATGTATCTCTCTTTCTCTCCCTTCCTCTCTCTAAAATCAATAAACATATCCTCAGGTGAAGACTAAAAAAATAATTATAAAAAACTTTAGTTATTAAACTATTAATACCCAAAGCAGGAGAAGTAGTGGTGAAAGTGTCTACACTAAATACCAGAGTTCCAAAGGACCCACTCATCAGGTTTCCACCAAGCTATCAGCCAGAAACTGTGCGGGGCATTAAAGGCAAAACTGTGAACAGGATAGACAAGGCACCTGCTCTCATTGAGCTTACACTATTGTGGAAGAGACGGACAAATACCAAAACCAAAAATTGCAGATAGTGATCAGTGTTAGTGGATATAAAGGAATTAAAAAGGGTACAACATGAATGACAAGGGGGCAGGGAGGCTTGGGGAAAGCGTAACTTATATTGGATGGCTGAGGGCAGGCCTCTCTGAGGTGGAGGCACCTGAGCTGAGACTTAAAGGAGCCAGCCTTGCAGACACCTGGCTCAAGAGCCTTCCAGGCAGAGGGAACCATACATAAAACAGTTCATTCTGGGAAACTCTCAAGTTGGCCCGTTTTCCTCCCTTTCACATAATTGCCTCTCATTCCTCCGGTGGAATTTCTATTTTGTCCAAGTGATCTTTTATTAAATTCCTGCACTTGTGCCTATTTTACCTACACCTCTCCGTTCATGAGGATCAGGCCTCTACCAGAAAGCCCTAAAGCCACCCATGATACCTGAGCTGCCGTTTTTACTTCTTCCACCAGGGGCCATCCTTGGAAATGTTTCTGAAGCCAACAGTCCCACCTTTGCCAGGGAAAATAAAACCATGTTTGGGGGTGGGAGGGTAAGTACCACAAATACCCCCATTTTGAAAATGAAGAAACTGAGGCTCAGAGAGGTTAAGAAATTTGCCTGACATCCTATAACTACATTATAGCAGAGCTGGGACTAACCCTCAACATGAGTTACTTAGTCTGATGGTTGGCACTCCCTCGCCCCGGAGAGAACTTTTTTCTTGGGGCCTTGGCTATTTTTAAAGGATGTTTTTGCCTCCTTGGTAGACTCGAGGGATGGTAGAAATCTGAGGCCACCTCATGCAGTAGTTGGGAGTCTGCTACCTGGCAAATAAACTAAGTAGCCAAACCAAGAAGAGTCAGTTCATAGGAAGAGAGCAGAGTCTTTTGACTCACTCATCCAATCCTCCCTCCCAGTTTGTAAAAATATCAAAATGATGCCCCCTCTCTGACCCCCACCCTTTAAGCAGATTCTGTAACTCACTTCCCAAACTTAAGGGAGTGGAAGTGGACTGAACAGTGGAAAACTGTAATAAATTTTACGACAGGAAGAGGGCGACAAGAAGAAAGAGCTGGTCTGAATCTGTGGCTGGATGTAAACCCAGATTCCACCATGTTCTTGCTGAGTAGCCTTAGCAAAATGTTTAACCTCTCTGGGCCTCAGTTTTTTCTACTAGGACAGGAAAAATACCACTACTGATCAAGCCCACGTCTTCAGGGTTTTGAGCAGATTAGCCATGGCAGTGAATGTGAATCACATTCTGAAAGCCAAAGAACAATGCAAGTCAAAGGAGATTATTATTTCTCTGCATGCAAGCTAGAAGACAAGTATTTGCTAAATAAACAGATGAACCATCAAATGACAACAGACGCTGAGAAGAAATGCAAAGTCTTGAAAAGGATGGGTAGACTTTATCTCCCTCTAAATCTAAAACAGAAATTTCTTTTCAGACTAGCAAAACAGGATGTCTTTCAAATATCCCTCCCCCAGTTCACTCCAGCAGAAGTAATGGGGCAACTGGACTGTTTGGGGGCTTGTCACCTAAGTAGGGACCAAGAGCCGCCCTCGTTTATCACACTGCATTCCTTTCCCCCGCCGGCCCAAATCTGGGCAGTGAAAGTTGGGACAAGCGAGATTGGACTTGCCAAGGGTGGCAGCCTGGAAAAACAAAACTGGTTTTGTACATAACTTGATGCAAGGCGTTTAACCTGCTTTGGGCATCTCATCTTAATGGTGGTTGAGCCCCACCCTTTGAGAAGTGACAGAAGAAGTGTGGCCAACAGGCAGCCCCAACCTGAATTTCTAGGTGCTCATTAAGATTCATTACCTTTCCAGGCAACCTGATCCTCTGGGCTGATAAATCAGAAATTATAGGACAGACTAAGGGAATCTCCAGCTCTGGGAAGGCTCTGGGAAGCTTACTTCAAACCTGGCAGGGGCTGGCCGGTGACGAGGAACCATAGTGAACGCTAACGCCAGCATGTGGGAGACTGAGCAAGAATGGCAAATTGTTGAAACTAGAGGATCAGTACTTGGGAATTGGGTATAATCAAACATTTTCACAATAAAAGTTAAACGAAAATAAGCCAGCAAGGGACTAAGTATTCTTTAAGTCAGCATGTCTTCCTCCTTTCTTAAACCTGTCATTTGGTCACTTGGTCTAAAAACCAAATCCCAATGACAAGAGCCACAAACCCAATGGCTACCTCTTAATGGGAAAATCTTTTCACCACAATAATGTTATCATTACCATAAAAAACTACAACCACAACTAATAGTTTCAACTACCTTTATTTGACTAATTTTTTAGTATTTTTAATGTGTGTAAAACATTGTGTCCAGCTCTGTTCTAAGCACTTTACAGATATTAATCCCAGAACTCTGTGAGGCTGGTACTATCAGTGTTCCAAAATTGAGGCAGCTAGTAAATAGCAGAGCTGGGATTAGAACCCAGGGAGTCTGAGAGGTCATGATCCTAACCACTCTTCCCCCTGCCTCTCTCTATAAGCCAGACCCCTTGCACTGTGCTCCTTATGTCCAATTTTCTGATTTAATTTTCCCACCTCCCCATGCTTTGGGCAGGCATCACTATCCCCATTTCCTTTCTGTAAATTATATGCTCATGAGTAAAGGGGCTGGGCTGTCTTCACCACTGTCCCCATATGCAAAACACAGATATGCTTTCCAGCAAGAATAAAAAGGAATATTTAAGAAAATAAGAAAGAAAAAGACATTCCAGGACAGTATGGAATTCTGAGTTTAACAGGAATCTGGGTGGAGGGAGGTAGGGGGAGGGCTGGAAGAAGTGTGGTGGGAGGAGGGATAGGAAGCAGTTTTCTTTTCATTAAACATATTTTCCTTACACATCTTTGTATTACATGGAGTGTCACAATTACAGTGAATTACTTTTTAAAACAACAGAAATAAAAATGACTTTTTAAAACTACCCTTGACACATTGTGATTTTGTGTGTCATTCATCCAGCAAGCACCCCACTTTCTAGTTTATTTGGCATAAGTAGTAGCTTTCATCAGAGGGCCCTGGAAGAGACGACTGAAGTCCAAATACAAATTAGACTCGTGAAAAGCTCTGGGTCCTGGGGCAGGCTCCCGGCGCTCAGCCGCATTCTTTGCTTAGAATTGCCATCATGCCACAGAACAGTCCAGCTTTAAGGATTCCTCTCCCACCCCCGCCCGGCCCCACAACTGGAATGTGAGTGGGTAGGACGAAGACAGTTGGAAAAGCCTCTATATATTTCCAGGAGATGTCGCGATTTAAGGACAGGGGCCTGCCATCAAAGCCAGCTGACTATCGTTGACTTATTTGGTAACTAGTGGCATAACCGGTCTCTCAGAAGCAACCATTTGGAAGCAGGGTCTTCCCCACACCACACACAAAGGCGCGCATTATGGATTGTTTCCCTCCTGGAACGCATTGGCCACAGCCAGCACCAAAGAGCAGGGCACTGAGCTTTCATTCAAGGACCATTTGAACTTGAGCGCTCAGCCTCAGGAAGGGAAAGTCACACACACAACTCGAGGGCTAGATCAGAGAGCCTGCTGAGGCTCCTGGGGGTCACACTGTCATTGTGTACCCCAAAACCCAGGGCTTCGGTTTCTAACTTAAACAGTGAAGATAAAAGACAAGAAGTTTAACTGAACGGACAAAAGGAATCCTGGGAAGACAGACATGGATCACTTAGCTAGGCAAGAGTTTATTTTTGCTGGTTGGAAACAGTGTTTCAAACTCCAACACACAAAGCCATAATTCTCCATAGCTACCACTGCCTGTAAAATTTCTTTCTAGGTTCCATTTTATTTTGATGAC